ATCTTCTAAATATAGAATCATATTGTCGGCAAATAGTGATAGTTTAGTTCTTCTTTTCCTATTCATGTTCCTTTAATTTCTTTTGTCTAATTGCTCTGGCTAATTCTAGGATTATGTTGAATAGATGTGGTGATGTGGGCATGCYTGTCTTGTTCCAGTTTTTAGAGGGAATCCTTTTAATTTTTCTCTATTTAGAATGATGTTGGCCTTGGGTTTAACATAGATAGCCTTTACAATGTTTAAGTATGTTTCTACTTTCTTTAGGTTTTCTAGTGTTTTGAAAATGAAGGGGTGCTGTATTTTGTCAAATGCTTTTTCTGCATGTTTATAGATGATCATATGATTCTTGTCTTTAAGTTTGTTGATGTGATGAGTTACATTTATTGATTTCTGTATGTTGAACCAACCTTGCATCCTGGGATGAACTCCGCTTGATCAAGGTACACTATCTTTTAAAAATGTTTTAGTATGCAGTTTGCCAGAACATTATTGAAAATTTTTGCACATCCGTTTATCAGGGATATTGGTCTGAAATTTTCTTGATACGTGTCTGTCTGGTTTTGGTATCTGGGTGATACTAGCCTCTTAGAATGAGTTTGGAAGGGTTCCCTCCTTTTCTATTTTATGGAATAATTTGAGGAGTATTGATGTTAATTCCTCTTTGAAGGTCTTGAAGAACTTGGCTGAGAACCTGTCTGGTCCTGGGCTTTTTTTAGTTGGTAGGCTTTTGATGGCATCTTCTATTTCCTTGCTTGAAATTGATCTGTTTAAATTGTGTGTGTCCTCCTGGTTCATTTTGGGTAGGTGATATGTCTCTAGAAATTTGTCCATATCTAAAAGATTTTCTATTTTATTGAAGTATAAATTTTTGCCGTAGTCCATCTGGGCAAAATAACCGAGAGGTGACAAGCAACTTGAAGGTTGAAGTGGGAACTACTTTATTGCAAGTGAACTCAGTGGGAACTGAGTGAGAACTCAAAGTAGTGGGCACCGAAGGTAGCAGGAGCTGCTTCTCTGCGGGACAGCAGAGGTACATATACCCAACTAATTACACACAACTTAACTTAATTAACACCATCTAGATACAGCAGTCAGTCATTAAGGAATCCTCATCATTTTTTTTTTAAAGATAGAGTGAGAGAGGAGAGAGAGAGAGAGAGAGAGAGAGAGAGAGAGAGAGAGAGAGAGAG